CACAAAAAGTCCATAAGAGGCTTCCAGTCACCAATAAATGTAGATAGTGCTTTTTCTCTAATCAAGGAAGTCAATTTACAGTATGTATTTGAATCCATTTTTTTTTTAGTTTTTTTCCATGTCCACCAAGCATGATAAAATGTCCCTTCCTGCTGTTCACATTTCCAACATACATTTGAAGTGACTTTATACATTCTAGATAATTTCTCTGGTGTCATGATACATCATTTTATAAACATTCTCTGTGAGATCATAACTCAATGTAGATTTCAACCCTTTAACTACATATTTTCCCATTGATCCATCTGTATATTATAACCAAAATTCTTAACCCACTTTATTAAACATTCTTTAATCTGTTCTTCCTCTGTTTCAAATTTCAACAAAAGTTTGTACCTTTTAGCAATTACATGTTCATCATCAGTACACAATTGTATTTCAAATTCTGACTTGTTTTGTTTGATACCATAAGTCTTTTTATCCATTTTAAATCTTTCCAGTAACTGTAAATGGGAAAATCATTGACAACTATATTCTTCTGCTATTAATTGTTCTCTTGATTTGATTTTAAATTCTCCTTGATAGTTTTCCAATAAAACCTGGTACATCAACCATTTATCTTTATCTGCCATTTCTCTTCTATAATATGCTTCTTGAGCTAAGATCCATAAAGGTGTTTTCTGGCACAACCTGGGTTTATTCCATATTCTCAATATGGCACATCTAAGAACATTATTTTTAAAGTCCGCATTAATTTTAACTTTATCATTCCATAAATATCCATGTCATCTAAACCTCAGATCATGATCTTCTAACTCTAAAAGTCTCTTGTTTCTCAGCAATATCCATTCTTTCATCCAGACTAAACAACAAGCAGTGAAATACAATTTTAAATCTGGTAAACCCATTCCTCCTCTTTCCTTTGCATCTTGTTTTATATTTAACTTGTGGTTTTTCCCTTGCCATATAAATGTAGGTATGTCTTTTTGCCATTGTTTAAATGGTCCATCCAGTGTCAAAACAAGTATTGTCTGAAACAAAAACATTATTCTTGGCAAAACATTGATTTTTATCACAGAAGTACTCCCCAACAGTGACAATTTTAATTTCTCCCGTCTTAACATGTCTTTCTTAATTTCTTATGTCTTAACATAATTATTTTGAAATAACATACAATTCATATTTGTCATAGTAATACCCAA